TAGACGGATCGTCAATTGAAAATTTATGAATTTCCGAAATTTTTATTCACTAGAAGATCTAGATAAAATATGACAGCATCCTTTGACACAACCATGCCACAATGAATGCAAAAAACAACCCCGACAGTATTCTGACTAATATCTAGGTTGGCAACATCACCTGTTGTTCCATTGCAGATTTCTTTGTCTATGACCAACTATGTTTGTTATATTCTTAATTTGATGTTGATTATATTGGCTTAATTTTCAATTTAAAATAGTGTTGGTCACCAATAAAGTTGATGTCTGGAACTGTTTTCACATTTTCTGGGACGACAAGGCACAGGAAATCGTGGCTAATGCCTGTTCCCAGTCCTTTTCAATATTTGTTTACAAATTTTAGAAAAAGGACAGGCGCGGGACAGGTATTTTATGATAAAACATAGAAAAGGACAAGCGAAATCAAGGGACAGGTTGTGGCGAATGTGACTCTGTCCCCCGTCCTTTCTGCTTAAAATCTTTTATTTATTATATTGTAAAATGCGCAATATAAAATGTTTATTTAATATTAATAAAAAACACATAAATATTTATTTCTTTATATTATTTTTTGACTTGATCTGCTTGCTACAACGAACTTCTTGTTTAATTATGTTTAACAAAAAAAGGAATTTTCCCCGATCTGCAGATTAAGTAAATGAATTTGGATACGAAGTTCCGATTGGCTAATTTTTGAATTTCACCAAATTCACGCACAAGTAATAAAATTATCATCCTACATAATAAAATATTTTTGGAAACAGATTTTTTACTTTCGTTAGACGTTTGATTCAAAGAATCTGATTGGACTTTAGTTATTTTGATTCTTTGTAAAATCAAATCAAAATGGAATAATAGTATTGAAACTTTCTTTATGATTCAATTAAATAAATGTCAGTTGCTTTTTTTAAAATATATAAAAAGTGTAAACTAACATTGTTACAATTTTACAAATTTTTGTAAAATTTGTTTAGTTTAGAGATAAAAAAATTCAGGAATTAATTTTTATTATTATTCGTTTGAAATAGAGTTGTTGGTCGAAACGTTTTGAGCTTTGTCGAAACGTTTCGTCATTCAACATTTAGGCATGTCGAAAGTCTAAAGTGATGTCGAAAGCCTAAATTGATTGATCACATCAAAGTCCAAATTGATGTTGAAAGTCTAAATAATGTCAAAATGCCTAAATGTTATTGAAACAAAATGCCTAAATATTGTCAAAATTATAAAATATCTAAAACTGTTATTTACCATCTTCTCTTTGTAAATAATCTAAATAATCTTGTGATCTTAATACCTCTTCCATTATGAAATGTACATACTAAAAAATTTTTTAATTAATCATAATTATCAATATAAATTACAATAAAAACAAAAATCTATTTCCTTATAACATCTTGGGAATAATTTGCAAAAAAAATCACTAACTTTATATTTTTCTATGTTAAAGATTGAATTGAATGTTGGAAGAAATAATTAAATTTCCTTGGAGATCATGTGTTACAGTGAAGTTACATTGTATCAATGATAAAAGATGAACGCAATCGATATTTTTAGTGTATATACAATTAATCAGCTAATTTCAAACAAAAAAAAACCCGCATTATTTTATTATTATTAAAAAGTTGGCTCCCATTCTCAAATTACTAATACTAATATTATTGGTGGTTCAAATAGTCAGTTTTATGCATTAATAATTATTTAGAGACAAATATTTAGACTTTCGACATCAATTTAAACTTTCGACATCAATTTAGACTTTCGACATTTCAACACGTTTCGACATTACGGCAAATCAAGTGACCTTGTATTCGACAGTCGAAATGCCTAAATGTTTGTCGAAACTATACCTTTCGACTAACAACTCTAGTTTGAAAATTTCAAAGAGGAGATGGGGCCTTGGATCATCATAATTGAAGTAAAGTTAAATAAGTAGTATGACTATTTTAGGTATAGCAGAAGTTTTTTTATTATCCAAATCAGGTAAAGTAATTTTTATATGAATTATGGTATGCACGTCATATAAAGCGGCCTGAGTGGGTCATCATAATTGAATGACTACCCAACCCGAACCCGTAAAAATTTATAATTTGCAACCCGAACCGATTTGTACATAAAAAGTTTCAATCCAAACCCGAACTTGACCCGTTTTTTATTATAAATAAAAAGTATTTTTAAAAAAAAATTGCTTATAGAAATACTATCAATTATTTGTGGATTTAAATTTGAACAAATCTCATTAACTATAAGTCCGGCCACACTAAACTCTCTTTCGCTAGGTGCACTGGAAGATGCGGTTAAAAGATAGTAGGCAGTAAGCCTTGAAAGTCTTGGATAAATATGTTGATGGTCTTTCCACCATTCTAAAATATTAAAGTCATCATCTTTTTGTATTTTTGTTGATGAATACATTTTTGTCACCATCATAATATTTAATAATTCTACATTTGAATTTGAATTTGAATTTGAATTTGTAGTTGATAGGAATTACTTATCCCATGTCATTTATGAGATTGTCTATTTTTTCTTATACTTACTTAAAATAAACTTTTATAATATAAAAAAATTTGTTGTTTTTCCAAAAAACAAATTCCAATTCCAAAATTTCTTTCATAAAATGGTAAAAAACCCAATTCGTTTATTTTACTTATTATTTGCTTTAAAAGGTGCTTATTAAAGAATCCTCCTTTTATAACTGCTTCAATGCTAATGAATCCTGAAATTGCAACCCAAGAATTAAGAATCCTTGACGCGTTTTAGAAGTTATCCTCTGTCTCTCTTGATAGATATATTTTAAAAGTTTTTTAGAATTACTATTTGAAGTTCATCAAACAATATATATACTATTTTTAATATATTTAATATATTTTATTAATAAATTTTAACTCTGTTGGAAAGACAAATTTGAATAAACTTTTGAAGACACAATCATCAAATATGTTAATGTAACAAAATACAGCAAAAAACACAAGATTATGGTTTTGTTAATGGTACACAACCTGCCATTGATTTTTTAACATTATTTGCCAAAAGGGTTGCATTATTGTGTGAATATATTGTTGTGGTAAAGACAGAGAAGAGGAATATAAAGTCGGATTATTGTATAATGGGATTTGTGCCATCAACAAGTTTATCAAGATTTGTTTAAATTTAAATGTACATGAAGACTTTAAATTTGTTGCTATACGAGATATTTTACATTCTAGAATAGCGGAGCTAAAAGATTTGGATGATGACACTCTTAATGGAGTCAATCCTTTTAACAGATGAGGAAATGGTTCAAATATTTGATCATAAACTCCATCAACACACCAAAAGGTCTATTAAAACGTGTATTCCTTCGGATTGGTTGTTTCACGGTCAAGTGAGACGGATCTTAAAATAAGTCGTTTCAAGGTTACCTGGTAGCACAAAAAATAATAACGATATTATTAATGAGGATTCTATAAAGATAATAATAAAGGTTATGCTGAATTTATCTTTTCTTATAATTCGAAAAAAACCCTTTAAATGAGATTCGTAATGTCATGGGATCCGATAATCAAAAATTAAATTATTATGAACTTTATCACAGAATAAAATTAAAAGTTAACTTATATGGTGCGAGACCTCTTAAACCACCATTTACAACGCCTCGTGGCCAAATTTCAAAAATGTCTTAAATTTTAAAATAATTTTCAATTCATATATATATATAAATGCAATAAATCCTCAATGTCACACAACATCAATTAACATATCTAAAGACAATTTATTAGAATGAATACTTGAGTAAAATAAAAAATATTGAATTGTTAATGTTACTGTTACCAGAATTTTTAAAAAAGGATCTGTAGATGTCATAATTTCCATCCAAATTCAAGCGGCCAAATTCCTCGCGAACATAGTAAAATATATGTGTACTAAAAAGGAATAATTTCAACAATCCATCAATATTTTTGAAAAAAAACTCTCTGTCACATCAAAGCTTAGGTCCTAATTTATGTCATAACAGTGTTATTTTTTAAAAAAATGATATACAGAAATGAACTTCTATTCTTTTAAAAATCACATACAGAATTGATGGTTTAAGAGGTCCCGCATCATATAGATAATTTATTTTACACACGATGCTTATTATTATTATGTAATTAATATATTACGACTAAATTTGAATAAATAATATAACATAAATAACGTGTTATAAGTAGATAAAAGTAGAAATGGATGATTGCACAATGAGTTTATACGAGGGATAATATCAATTATTCCTTCACTCAAACAAATAATTGTTCACAACACAACACTATTTTGAATGTATTTTTATTCGTCAATCAAATGTAATGTTTCCACGTGGAACCAATTTCTTAATAAAAGTTCTCGTCTTGGGACAATTCTTGTTAATTTAAAAAAGAGACTCGTTGTTCATTAAACGCTTAATTATGTCGATCACCTCCATACGGAATTCTGTACATAATAATAGTAACATAATCTCCGAGGTAATGTCAATGGTGAATAAAGAATTAAAAATAAATTTTCATACAACTGAATTTGGGTTCGAAGTTCCGATTGGCTAATTTGAATTTCACGCGCAAGTGTAACACGCTACATGAATTCATTTTTTGGATTAAAAATAAAAACCCATACATAATTTGGACACAAAATTCTGATTGGTTGATTGAATTTCACGTATGTGTATCAAATTCACGCACAAGTGTATCATTACATGAATTCATTTTTGGATTTCTCAAAGCATCAAAGAACTGTAACTCCGATAGTAAATTTAAAAGAAGTAACTATGTAATGAACGTCACAATTACTTATTTCCGTGAATATGAAATATAATTAGTCTGGGTAACTTTGTTTCTTATAAAAAGGCAGCGATTTCAATTTACTCTAATCAATAATTAAATTCACAAATAAAATTCTATCTCACAGATAAAATTCTATCCTTCACAAATAAAACCCTATCTTCACAAATAAAACTCCATCTTTACAAAGAAATCATGAAGTTTATTTTTGCTTTCCTTTTATTGGCTACGCTCTCCATGGTGGTCAATGCTATTCCACATCAACTTCTTAAAAGAACTACTGTCTTTAGTCAATGCCCTCCTGTAAAATCTGGAGAAGCACCACCACCTCTACTCAGTGTCATACTTTCACCTGATCCTGTCGCTCCTGGACAACCTGATAGTGTTGCTATTTCTGGAACACTAAGTCGTCCTGTCATCGATGGCGACATTACTGCTGTTGGATTTATTGATCTTGTAGCTAAGACTCCAATAGGTGATCCAGCTACTGCGCCAACCGACCCTAAAACACCATTTTCTCAAGTATTGAATGTTGATGTGCCAGCAAAATTACCTGCTACATACATTATTTTAGCTGGTGTTGGGAATCCAAAAACACAGGAAGTTATAGGCTGTGCATTTAGTGTTGTTGGTGGTTCTGCTGAATCTGTAGATCTTGACTCTTATCCCATCCCATTATTATAAATTATTAAAAATAATAAAAATCAAAATAGAATAATTTAATTGTTAATTATTATTATTTATTAAACAACGTTCTTAGAACGGATTCTATTAATTTAATATTATTATTTATTATTTTACGTATTATATTATTTAATATTGTCATTAATTTTTATATTTACATGTTGCTTTAAATAAAAACAAATTCAAATTTATGAAATTTTTATTCACTAGTACTAGTACTAGAACACCTAGGTAAAAAATATGGCAGTATCCTTTGGCACAACCACGCCACAACGAATGCAAAAAACAACCCCGACAGTATTCTGACTAATATCTAGGTTGGCAACATCACCTATTGTTTCATTGCAGATTTCTTTGTCTATGACCAACTATGTTTGTTATATTCAAAATTTTGATATTGATTATATTGGCTTAATTTTTGATTTAAAATAGTGTTGGTCACCAATAAAGTTGGTGTCTGTAACTGTTTTCACATTGTCAGGGGCGACTAGAAAAGGACAAGGTACAGGAAATTGTGGTTAATGCCTGTCCCTAGTCCTTTTCAATATTTGTATACGAAATTTAGAAATGGAAGATGCGGGACAGGTAGTTTATGATAAAACATAAAAAAGGACAGGTTGTCCCCGTCCTTTTCCACTTAAAATCCTTTATTTATTATATTGTAAAATGCGCAATATAAAATGTTTATTTATTATCATAAAAAACACATAAAAAGATTTATTTCTTTATATTATTTTTTGACTTGATCTGCTTGCTACAACGAACTTCTTGTTCATTAATTATGTTAACACTAATACAAAAAAAAAATGCGATGAAAATTTTTTTACATATAAACAAGGAAATTTGCCCCGATCTGCAATATGTATTTTCTTATATACCATTTCTGGCGAATTGCGAATTAAGTAATGATGAAAATGAAATTCTGATTGGCTAATTTTTGAATTTCACGCATGTGAATCAAATTCACGCACAAGTAATGAAATTATCATCCTACATAATAAAATATTTTTGGAAACAGATTTTTTACTTTCGTTAGGCGTTTGATTCAAAGAACTTTAGTTACTTTGATTCTTTGTAGATCAAATCAAAATGGAATAATAGTATTGAAACTTTCTTTATGATTCAATTAAATAAATGTCAGTTGCTTTTTTTAAAATATATAAAGTGTAAACTAACATTGTTACAATTTTACAAATTTTGTAAAATTTGTTTAGTTTAGAGCTAAGAAAATTCAGGATTTAATTTTTATTATTATTCGTTTGAAATAGAGTTGTTAGTCGAAACGTTTCGTCATTCAACATTTGGCATGTCGAAGGTCTAAATTGATGTCGAAAGACTAATTGATGTCGAAAGACTAAATTGATGCCGAAAGTCTAAATCGATGTTGAAAGTCTAAATTGATGTCGAAAGCCTAAATAATGTCAAAATGCCTAAATGTTATTGAAACAAAATGCCTGAATGTTGTCAAAATTATAAAATATCTAAAACTGTTATTTACCATCTTCTCTTTGTAAATAATCTAAATAATCTTGTGATCCTAATACCTCTTCCATTATGAAATGTACATACTAAAAAATTCTTTAATTAAAATAATTATGGATGTCCAAAATGATTACAAATATCCAAAATATTTGAAATAGTTACAAAGTAAATTGTATATATTCAAATTAAATATTTAATTTTTGAGTATGTTTGTATGGTTTAAAAACGATAATTGTTGCCCAGACCCAGATTTCGAAGAGTTTAATGTAGGATATTGATTCAATTGCCACCAGTATCAAGTCTGCAAGTTTACAGATTATCTGTATGGAAATTGTTTCATATTACAGCATTTGCAAGATGTTATAGCAATATCGCAGAAAAAGCGTGGTGGTGGTCCATTTAAGTTAGCGTTGGTTTTCAAAACGAGAGTTTTTCAACTGTGCGAAAGTCAAAAGGTTTTGCCACAAGTCGAACTTAGTTTTGACTTGTGACTTTTGATTTAATTTTGACATAACTTTCAATTTTAGTTTGAGTTTTGGCGACCAACAATATTTTAAATTGAAAATTAGGCCAATATAATCAACATCAAAATTAGAATATAACAAACATAGTTGGTCATATATTTACTGTAAATAATAAATTAATTGACAAAGAAATCTGCAATGGAACAATAGATGATGTTGCCAACCTAGATATTAGTCAGAATACTTGTCGGGATTGTTTTTTGCATTTGTTGTAGCGTGGTTGTGTCAAAGAATACTGCCATATTTTATCTAGATGTTTTAATACTAGTGAATAAAAATTTCGGAAATTCATAAATTTGAATTTGTTTTTATTTAAAGCAACATGTAAATATAAAAATTAATGACAATATTAAATAGTATAATACGTAAAATAAATATTAATATTAAATTAATAGAATTCATTCTATGAACATTGTTTAATAAATAATAATAATTAACAATTAAATTATTCTATTTTGATTTTTATTATTTTTAATTATAATTTATAATAATGGGGAAAATTTTTCAAAGAAAAGAATTTACTGTTTTAATTAAAACAACCAAATCAAAAACATATTTTACTTTATTTTTCATCCATACAATAGTTAT